GGTAGAGGGTAGCAAGAGATTGAGGTAGAAAGGGCCGAGGGGAGTGCTAAAGGTACGAGTTTGTGTAGTAAATCAGTTGTCAAAAAAGTCAATGAGCCCAGATTGAAGGAGAGTCCATCAGCAAGAAGGGAAGGTGAAGAAAGAGCAGCAGATCAGAGGCGACGTTGGAGGTAAATTCTGTGTGCTTGTTGATAGAGTGGGTAGTCCAATGTGGCTAACACATTGGAACTTGACAATTCTCAGAGGAACAGGGCGTCTATCCACGAGATACCCGTAAGACGAGTGCAGCCGATGCAAAGATGGGAGAGAGTAGTCTCCTAACATCGACAAGATGGCCAGTTTGTTAGAGCAGATCTGACCAACGTTGCCAATGGGTGCGAAGGTGGGTATCAATTACAGGAAAATAGTGCGTGAATGGAATTCCTATACGAATCTGGGAGGTCATGTACTGCTGATTGCGAAGCAGTGTCTGCCTACTCATTGCCCTGTACGTAAACATGACCAGGGACCCCTAAGGTATCAAATTTTCGTATAGCCTGTAAAACACTTAGGGAGTCTTAAATCACAAATGGTGACAGGCATAGATGCAGTACAGGCAAGTGCTGCAAGTAGTCAGTCTAAACCCTGTTACCTGGAGTGGGTGATGAAACACCACCAGCAAGAGGTACAGGGGCATTAGAAATGTTCAAAGAGTGGTCAAAAAACGAGGCAGGGTCAGAACAGAGTGCAGTATCAAGAAGGGGCCCGAGGGTAGCAGGTTCATGGATTGGAGACTCCATTGTTAGATCACTTTAGAAAAAAGGGGGAACTTTAGTAGCTTCTAGGAGGCAAAAAGGCCTGCAAATCTTCCTGTGCCCAAGAGGACCTTACGACCCCCAATTATTGCAGATGCAGCATGGAGCCCATGCCATACCCTACCCTTCATGCCAGTAAACCAGCAATCCAGGATAGGAACCTCGCGTCTACCGAGCCACCTCGGTGGCCAAGAGAAGGCGGCCGACACCCGCCACAAAGCATACCTCCTTTTGCTACCACCCCCTGGAATCTGACCGGCAGCTTCCAGAGATACATTCGACACCCAAAGCCACCCCTTGGGAGACTTGAGGGATCGGGACATTCCCAGGTGATCCAGATTCCACGGCAAACTACACCACTGCCAAGGACCTATGGAATGGAATGAACCCCGGTACCCTCCCCCCTACCTAGGAAGTAGATTGCCTGTGGGAAAAATAGCAAAGACTGAAAAGAGGAAGGGAATAGAGGGATGGGGAGGAGGAAAGGGGGAAAAGGGATGATGGGACAGGGTAGGGGTAATTAGGTTCGGTCTGAGGAAGGAGATCAATAGGTCTAATTCCTCAGACCAAGAGCTTTTTCATTACGCCAAGGAGCCCCCCCCCCTCTTCAGAGAAGAGGTGGGGGAAGCCGAGTGTTTTTCCTAATTACTGTGGAAAAAGCCTACTACTACTACTACTACTACTATAGCATTTTCCATGGTAGTGTTAATGCACGAAGTGTTGTGGTCACCAACACAGGGTGACACCCACCTGTGGAACAGTCTTCCCAGGGGGTGATAGAGGCTAGGACCTTGGGTAGCTTTAAGAAGAGACTGGACAAATATACGAGTGGGAGGGGCTGGGTTTGATTGGTGTCATGGGGTACGGGAGTTATTTCTTGGGTAGCTTTAGGTAGATGTCGTTTTGATAAGGACCTGCCTCGTATGGGCCAGTAGGCCTTCTGCAGTGTTCCTACATTATGTTCAGAATAACCAAAGATATTTAAGAGCTTTAACTGTTCGCTGCATGCGAGCAGTTACTGTTTTGTAACGGCTATGGTGTCCCGTCACAAGCTCGTACTCTCGTGGTTGAAGCCATTTCTTAGCCTGATATGCAGATTGTCATTAAGTAGTACCGACAGGCACCAATGAGGATACATGGGCCTTTAATTGCTATTTGTTGGGCGGAATTTCTTCACAACTGCTTGCATTTAGATAATTTGTAAGCTAGCTAATTCAAGTTAATCAGCAAATTATAAATTGCACATTCAAATGCGCAACTGTTGTCTGAATTTCCTTTGTACGAGGTGATCTAACTCTTATTGCCGGCAACGTTCAAAGATGACTAACTCACTGCTGCTGTTCAGATATATTCTGGAAATTTGCAAATCTTGCAAACAAGAGGAAGGTGGTGGTAGGTCAACTAATTATAAACCTGTTTGGCTGTAATCAATTCTTATCGCTAATTAAATTCCAGGACTTCCATAGCATGCCTATAATTAACAGTCATGGTCCTTTGGTTATTATTAGTCCAAGCTCTAAACTTCACGAGGGTCTAGTCTTTTGATAAGGTCATAAGCATTCCCTTTGAGGTGGGTTCCAAAATTTATTAGTTAAATGAACATTATCAGACTGACCAGATACAACCTGGAACTTCAAATACTTTCCATTAAGTGTTGACAGCGTTAATGGGGGGGGGAGGGAACAGCAACAGAGGTGCTGGATTATTGATCGATTGCTCGTGCTTAAGAACAAAAACTTCAGGTCTGACATGCGAGGCAAGTCCAGTTCTCCCACCGGCTTAAGCCAATGCCTTAATCTTGTCAGGTCAGTCACATTCACTCAAGGGAGCACAGCATCTGACCTAGTGTAAAGAAAGCTAGTCGGGTCCACCCACTCTTATTTATCTAATATTTTCAAAACTACACGTCTTAGCCTCTGACGGTAATGTGGAGGTTGTTCCACTCCACAACTTACCAAACCAGTGCTTTCCTACATCCTTCCTGAATTTGAATTTTTCAAACTTAAAACCATTGCTGCAAGTCCTTTCCAGGATAGATATATTTAGCACTATTTACATCCCCTTTATTAATTCCTGTTTTCCATTGATACATAATATTCCCCCCTAATTCTACGCCTTTCTAGTGCGCTGATTCAGGTCACTTGTCTATCCTCATAGGGAAGATGTCATACATGGGATCAACTTCGTCATCCTCCATCGTACGTTTTCCAGTGCATTTATATCCATTCTGTAATATGGTAACCAAAACTGCACAATCTAAATGAAGCCTAACAGAAGAACAACCTGATGACAGTCTTGATATGAAGCCAAGGATTTTGTTAGCTTTATTGCGAACACTAATTCACTGTTGTCTGTTTCAGATTACTGCTAACCAGAACAATCATTTTCGCAATCAGTAATATTAAGATCTAAATTAGTTTGTGGCATGGCTATTTTCCTGTCCAACATTCAGAACATGCATTTGTCTACATTAAACTATCTGCCACTTCTCCGACCACTGTATCAGTACTCTGATTCTGGAGTGCTATGTCATTAGAATGAACTGGATGGCCTATTTTGGTGTCAGCAAATTTGCTTTTGTCGCTATTTATTCCCTCATCGATCGTTTGTGTAAACTGAACTAGGAGCCCAACTAACCCCTATGGAACACAGTTTGTGACGTGTCTCCATTCTGATTTCTCCATTTATGCAAACTGCTGCCTATTTGTCAACAGTTACCCAAAAAAAAAAAAAAAAAAAAAAAAAAAAAAAAAAAAAAATTGTGTGCCTTAAGTTTCCTCAATAGTCTCTGATGTGGACCTATCTAAAGCCTTACTGAAGTCCACACACAACATTCAATACCTTGATTACCTCAAATACCTTAGTGAAGAAAGTATATTCCTAAGACAAGAATGCCCCTTTGTAAAACCATGCTGAGATTCATTAATCAATTTATGCCTTCCAAGATGGCTACGAATGGCTTCTGCAATTACTGATTCCATAACTTCCCACTATGGAGGTAAGGCTTACTGGTCTATAGTTCGAAGCTAGGGACCTGTCACCTGCCCTGTAAAGTATTACATTTGCCATTTTTTCCCCTTGTCTGGCACTGTCAGCTTGTAGCGATATATTTAAAAGATTAGCCAAATGTATGCCAAGTTTCTCTTTACATTTCTTTAAAACCCTGTTTTTTTTTTTGGCAACATTTTGATTAAAAGGTCACGCATAAACTGACTTCAGGCTTTTAGAAGTCCTCGAGATCAATCTATAGGCATTCCAAGTGTTCTTCAGCGACAGTAAAAGTCCGGGTGTCTGATTTTTCAATAACCGAGTCTCAAATGCAATTCAATTCGATTTATTTTCTTTACTCCATCTTATGACCTGACCTGATTTCCTAGAAAATGTCCATCTACAATTTTGTAAGCCATGATAAACTGCACGAAGTCATTACATAGATATATTAAGCATCAACGCACCTCTTTGGTGATTGTGAATTTTGAGACTTAGGCTACTACAAAAAATAATGCGCAATTAAAAAAATAGGCTTAAAAGTCCTATAGTTGCTGCAGGCACCCCGGTATTTAAGAACAATTAATGAAGGCCTAAATTGCTGACAAACTTAACATGCGTCACATTCAGCTGCCGGCTAGCAGAGCCGGCCAGGATCATTCAGCTGCCGGCTAGCAGAGCCGGCCAGGATCATTCAGCCGCCGGCTAGCAGAGCCGGCCAGGATCATTCAGCCGCCGGCTAGCAGAGCCGGCCAGGATCATTCAGCCGCCTGCCAGGATCATTCAGCCTCCAGCTAGCAGAGCCAGCCAGTATCATTCAGCCTCCAGCTAGCAGAGCCAGCCAGGATCATTGGAATAGGTTATTTGTGACCAGTCCTCAATACCCAACCACGTCAATGATAGATCCTGATTAAGGAAGGGCCTAACACTCGCTTATTACCGTGCCATGTAATTTGTAGTTCCTTCCCCCCCCATCCCTCCTTCCTTTAGATATTTACCCTTTATATGAACCTAACATTAAGGTTAAGTATATTTCACTTCCCAGCCCTTCAGTCTGATATCAAAAGCTTTACTGGATGTAACGGACGAAATCCGCGGTGAAGGACTTGCATGTATGAACCAATTATTTTCCCTAAAGAAAAGCTTTGACAAAGCCTTTGCTGGTAAGGGCTAGTTTTCTGCAAAACTAGTTTGATAAAGGCAAGTAGTTAAACTCACCTGGTAGTAAAGCCACTCCTTGGCGCCGAAGGTTCTTATGCACTGGAATGGGACAAACTTTCCATCGTCATACTTGTAGATAACAGAATCTACTTCAAAGTTCTTGTTACCAGCTGTTGGGGAGAATATTTTTAAAACTGGTACAAACTGCAAGCTAGTAAAAGTGTTGTGATTATTACATACATATATATAATTATAGAAAGGCTGCATTATGCAACATTTTTACCTTCATCGTAATTGTATTCATTAGCTACAGCTAAGAAATATTCTGAGTTTGGTCCAGACACAAAGCTGAACGCTGTCCAGTCACTGGCAGCACTTGTCCGAATGCGTTGAAATGGTTTTAGTGACCCACGGGTCACGTCATACACAAAGATGTCGCTCTCAATCTCTACGTTACCTGGAAGAATATTTAATTTTAAATAGGCTGTACAATCTAAAGTGCAAATAAAACTGATAGCGAAGCTCAGAACTAGTGTCAGTACCACAGTAATACCACCTACCCAGGTCATCAGCATGATTGGCGACGGCCAAGAACTGACGCGATACAATTTTGAAGGCTTCTACACCACGAGCATTCATGCTTCCGAAGGTAGCACTGTCCAGCCTATCGTAGGTTGTGTAAACCTTCTCTCCAAGGGTAGTAATCTGGCCAAATAAAAAAAATTTTTTTGTATTTATAATTTTTATATTTTATTTAAAACTCTGGTACAAAAATATATGGGTACATAATATGTAACAAGATACAGGCAGTGAACAATAATCAACTGACTACACAAATACTGAAGCACATATATAATGACAGAACTGGCTACACTCAAATCAAACACCGCTTGTACGTACTGTGCTTCACATGAAAAGGTGGTCATATAAAAAACTATAGAACCTACCCAGTAATGCTTACACTCCCCCCCCCTGAAAACGTGTCACTTTCACCTTAGATACAGTGACAAATCTTACTTATACAATTGTAAAAGCATTAAAAACTTTAACAAAATATATAAACAATCCAGCCAGCTAAACGGCTGACACTAATACAAGGAATGTCTGAACCTGATGGCTCACATCCACCATAGAACAATCCACCCAACCCTCATATACCCTATGGTAATAATTAATATCGTGCATTGTGGTGGGTTTAAGACACTACCGCTGACGCTTCAACCCATCCTCCCACATGCCTAACTGTCTGCCGTCACCACTCAACCACCAACAGTCATTGATGGTAATTAGCGTCTTATATCACCCTAAAAAACACGCTATGCACATAAACCTACCACAATAAATAAATAAATTTACACATTCCCTCCTGCAAACATTATTTACACTGCCGGAGATAATCTATACATCACATCCTACAGAGAATGGACAACATTAGACATCTAAAATATGACGTGTCACATGACCTGCTATTGCAGAGAACTTAAACTCCTTCCCCCCCCCCCCCCCCAAGTGAAAAACTGTCTAGTTTCACCTGGCTATACACAAGATCAAAAACTCATTCACTTGAACATGTAATGAAAATGAAAAAAATCTAACAATATAAAAGCAAAAACACCCCAGGCAAGATCTTACATTATATACAATACCAAAACGTTCCACTAGTTAAAAAACAGGTATGAATGCCTCATTATTATGACAAGTTACATTGCTCATATATAGGTAGACATGTATAATTACAGGTTAAAATATGCTTATATCTAAAATGCTTATGTACACCTTACCAACACTGAAGAATCCTTAGATAAATATAATATCGGTGTTCACAATAACAACAAGACACAACTTACATTTATACCAAGTGCATACTAAACAGTCTTTCCTCATATAGCATACACAAATGTACGACACAGTATACTTACGTAAAATATCTTAACACTAAATCTACACCTTACAATACATAAGAATCCTAAACAATTAACAGTTTCACAATCACAAGCACATACATTGATACACATTGAATATCACACTCACACATCATTCCACACACACACACAACACACACACACACACATCACACCACACACACAATCTCACACACACAATCCCACACACACACAATCCACACACACAATCACACACACACACCATCACACACACACACAATCACACACACACACACAATCACCACACACAACAATTCACACACACACACACACACAATCCACACACACAATCCACACACACAATCCACACACACAATCACACACACACACACACATCACAACTACACACACAATCACACACACACAACTCACACACACACACTCACACACACACAATCACACACACCAATCCACACACACAATCACACACACAATCCACACAACACAATCTCACACACACAATCACACACACAATCTCACACATCACACATCTCACACACACAATCTCACACACACAACAATCACACACACAATCTCACACAACAACTCACACACACAACTCACACACACAATCTCACACACACAATCTCACAACACACACACACAAATCACACACCAATCTCACACACACAATCTCACACACACAATCTCACCACAATCTCACACCACAATCTCACACACACATCTCACACACACAATCTCACACACACAATCTCACACACCAATCTCACACACACAATCTCACACACACAATCTCACACACATCACACACAATCTCACACACACAATCTCACACACACAATCTCACACACACAATCTCACACACACAATCTCACACACACAATCTCACACACACAATCTCACACACACAATCTCACACACACCAATCTCACACACACAATCTCACACACACAATCTCACACACACAATCTCACACACACAATCTCACACACACAATCTCACACACACAATCTCACACACACAATCTCACACACACAATCTCACACACACAACTCACACACCAATCTCACACACACAATCTCACACACACAATCTCACACACACAATCTCACACACACAATCTCACACACACAATCTCACACACACAATCTCACACACACAATCATCACACACACAATCTCACACCACAATCTCACACACACAATCTCACACACACAATCTCACACACACAATCTCACACACACAATCTCACACACACAATCTCACACACACAATCTCCACACACAATCTCACACACACAATCTCACACACACAATCTCACACACACAATCTCACACACACAATCTCACACACACAATCTCACACACACAATCTCACACACACAATCTCACACACACAATCTCACACACACAATCTCACACACACAATCTCACACACACAATCTCACACACACAATCTCACACACACAATCTCACACACACAATCTCACACACACAATCTCACCCATCTCACACACACAATCTCACACACACAATCTCACACACACAATCTCACACACACAATCTCACACACACAATCTCACACACACAATCTCACACACACAATCTCACACACACAATCTCACACACACAATCTCACACACACAATCTCACACACACAATCTCACACACACAATCTCACACACACAATCCACACAAACAATCTCACACACACAATCTCACACACACAATCTCACACACACAATCTCACACACACAATCTCACACAACACAATCTCACACACACAATCTCACACACACAATCTCACACACACAATCTCACACACACAATCTCACACACACAATCTCACACACACAATCTCACACACACAATCTCACACACACAATCTCACACACACAATCTCACACACACAATCTCACACACACAATCTCACACACACAATCTCACACACACAATCTCACACACACAATCTCACACACACAATCTCACACACACAATCTCACACACACAATCTCACACACACAATCTCACACACACAATCTCACACACACAATCTCACACACACAATCTCACACACACAATCTCACACACACAATCTCACACACACAATCTCACACACACAATCTCACACACACAATCTCACACACACAATCTCACACACACAATCTCACACACACAATCTCACACACACAATCTCACACACACAATCTCACACACACAATCTCACACACACAAATCTCACACACACAATCTCACACACACAATCTCACACACACAATCTCACACACACAATCTCACACACACAATCTCACACCCCTCTCCCCCCCCCCCAACCCCCCTGGAAGGCCAGCCCGTTCATGCCCCTGACCGCTTATAAAGACCATAAATCCCTCAAAAGAAAGTCCCTGTAGCCCTCCGAGAAATCCCTCTCCCACCTCCTACCATATATTTCCCTGTTGCGACACTTTGTTCTATAAAAGGATGCTGCTATGGCCATCCTACGTTCCTCCGCCCCTTTGTCTCTCATTGCCCATGATGTATACACAAAATCAACCACTAAGCAAGCCACTGCCCTTTGAACCTTTACCCCAACCCCACCTACATCTAAACTGAGCGCTCTCAAAACCGACAACCCTTTCCCTCCCCCCCCCCCACATACCGGATTACTTTCCCTAACCATTCCCGCACAATCCCTAGGTTTTCACAAAAATAAACTACACGAAAAGCTGATTCATCTACCCCACAAACCTGACACTCCCCACCCTCCCTTATTCGCCTATTTCGTAAAACAACTCCAGACGGCAATATTCCGTGAAGAAACCTATACATTACCTTCCTCACGTGTGGCCGGATGCGTAACCCTTTTAATCGACCCCAAATGTCTTCCCATGCGTACATCGGGTACACTCCTTCCGTTGCCATTACCACCCTAGGCCATATCTTCCTCTCCATGGACCCTACCCTCATGTTTCTCGGCTCTCTGACCATCAATAGACGCAACAACAACTCGCCATCTCTCAAATCTTGTCCCTTCCACCATCTCCAAAGATCACCCTGCAGCATCCCCAACCCTCCACTCCCTTCCCCCCCCCCCCCCCGAGCCCTTAGCAACCCGTTTCACATACACACTTCAACCTTCTTTCCAAATGAATTAACCCCAGCCCTCCCAAGGTCACCGGAAGTGTTACCACCTCCCTTTACAACCAATCGCATCCCGAACCCCAGATAAAACGGGAAAACTCTGCTCAACAATCTCTGGACATCCCCATACACCAAGGGTACAAAGCTGCCACATGCCATATTTTGCGGTACAAAAGCACATTGACCACAATGACCCTCTGGTGTAGCATAAGATGTGTCTGCCTCAATCCTGACAATCTTCCCAATACCCTATCTACCACACCCTTTGAATTATTCTTCCTCGCCATTTGAGCATTACCCATATACACAACTCCACAAATTTTCACCTGGTCCACGACACTCCACCTCGCCCTCCCGCCCATCCCATTCACCCAATCTCATGAGCTTTGATTTATGCACATTCACTGCCATACCTGTTGCCATCCCAAAAACATGTATAACTCTCCAGACCCTCCAATCCCTCCCTCCCACTCACTAGGACAGTTGTGTCATCAACAACCTATGATACAGGGACTCCCACCTCGTATGTCCTCCCTTACCCCCTCCTGTATGCACCTTTCCACTGCCCTATAAAACTGATTCTGTAAACATGCAAATATTTGTGACTACTGGCAACCCTGCCTCAATCCCCTGCCCATTTTCACATGCAACCCCACCCTCCCATTAATCTGTACACATCCCAGCTCCGATATAAAGTACGTGCCCAATTCACAATGTCCTCCCCGAACCCCTGCCGCTCCACGATTCTCCACAGAGCCTCCCTCTCGACACTCGTATGCCGTTCTCCAATCCTACGCCAATACCCCTCGTTCCCCCTCTTGCAGACCCTCAAACTTTCTAAACCCCATGCCCCTCATACATTGATCTCCCCGGAATCCCATATTGACCCCTCACTATTACCTTTCCAATGACTTTTTATACGATTTCCCAAATTTTTTGCAAAAAGTTTGTAGTTTGCACACATGAGCGATATCCGGTAATCTCTCACTGCACCGACTTTCACCCTTTGGCACCAATACTACTAGCACTGTCGCCTGCAAAGGTCCCAACGCACCCCTCTTATGATTTTAAATAATTGCACCAAAAAATCTTTTAATACTTCCCAATGCTGTATGTAAAACTCCGCAGGCAGCCCATCTATCCCCAGCGCCTTACCCTCCACACCTCTTCCTCCACAATAGGCCCCTGTAACTGTTCCCTGTCGTCCCTGTCCAGCACACACCGCACCCATCCCCCCATCTCTCTTAAAGCCCCCCTCTCTCACACCCACACTCCTCATATGTGCACTAAGCCAAGCATCAACATACCCTCCCATCCCCTCTGTCATCACCAAATCTTGTCCCTCCCTATACCCCTCGATGTCCTCAATTATTATTATTATCAAAAAGAAGCGCTAAGCCACAAGGACTATACAGCCCGATGTCCTCAAGAACTCTCAAACCCACCATTTCCATTGCAACGCGCCGGTGCCCCTGCCCTCGCAGGACACACGCCGATGGTCTATCACCCCACATGACCTCCAACCCCCCTAAAACCCTTGCCGCATCAAACCTCTCATTTTGCACTTCCATTAGGCGTTCCTTCACTCCCTCTATGTCAGCCACTGGGCTCCCATCCTCCCCCCTTCCTCTCATAATACTCCCTTAACTGCCCCTCAAGATACCTAATAAGCCCATAAGCCAACCGATTCTCGTGCCTTCCCTGTCGGACATAGAACTCTCGAATCCTCGTCTTCGCCATCACATCCCGCCATCACATCCCCCCATCTCAACACATCCCCATTGACTTCCATCCCCTCCCATAAGCCTTTCCACCATTGTGCAAATAGGACCCTCCCCTCAACATCTTTAAGCAACTGTACATTCAATTTCCAATAACTTGTACCTGTTCGGCCGACCCTCCCATCCCAAATCCACCAAAACACCTCTGATCAGAAAAAGACATCCAAAACCCTTACACTCCACACCACTGCTTTCCTTGTCACGTATATCCTGTCCAGTCGTGCAGCATACCCCTGCCTCACAAAGGTGTGCTGCACCCCCCCCCCCCCCCCCCCCCCCCCCCCCCCCCCCCCCCCCAAACAACCCCCCAAATTTTCCCCAAGGGGCGAAATTTTTCCTGCCCCCTTCCCACCGTGTAATATTGGGTTTCCAACATTTCCCGGGAAAACTTTCTTCACTCACTTCCCCCTCCGCCCCCCTTCAAAAAAACACACTCTTCCCCTTCCTTCCCATTTTAAACCCCCCCCTCACCCCCCCCCCCACAATGTGTACAGTAAACGGGCTAGCCTCCCTCGCCAAAATAGCCACTCCTTTTCAATCTTCGAGTGTCCCGCTCACAGTATACCCCTCAATCAAAAAAACAAACCCCGCTTGTGGTTGTGCTCTTGCACAAAACACTAAATCACACCATACCAATGAGCATCTTTGAAAAAACCCTACACTTCCCGAATTTTCAGACCATTAAATTTATAGAGACTTTTAATTTGTCGTGGAGGTTTTCCTTAGTATTGCACCACCCCTTTTTCCCCCTTCCCTTTTTTTCGCCCTTGTTTCTATCACTTCTGTGTCTGTTTCACTTTCCCCTTGCCCCTGGATCCCCAGGTCCATGCTCAACCACTTCGCCCAAACCCTTTTTTCCCCAACGCTGTGCCGGAGGAAAACATCGTCCAGTCCCAAAAGGGGACTGCCGCTCTCTTCCGTGACCTCGGCCTTTTCCCCGCCTCCACCCGGAAGCCACCCCGTGACTTCCACCACCCTAACCCAATTTTTCAACCCCTCCTCAACCCGGGTCTCTTCTCCCCCCCCCTCTCACCACCTGGAACCCCCCCAGATCCCGGGGGCCCCCAAGCCCTCAACGACCTCTCCTGGGGTCCCAAAAAGGGCGTGGGGGACTGAATAATGGGAGCCCCCACGGGCCCCTTTCCCCACCCCGCGACACCACATTTTGGTCTCCCGTGTGCCTGGCAGGCAAGATCTTGAGGAGCATCTTCCCCCCTCAAGGCCTCCTCGACCTCCCCCTCCAACCTTGTTCAAGGAAACCGACTCAGGTAGTGAAAAATTCAAGTCTAAAGGTCCTCTGATGCCCCCTTATGCTCTCCTTCCCTGTGTATTTTGTGAAAACTGCAGAAATGTGATCATAGGCCCCGCATAATCGAAGTATGTCGTTGCCCTGCGTGAATCACCATTCTCGAGTCCTGAAGCTTTGGGAAAAAATATGAAAGGAATAGGAGCCTCAATGTCTTTTTAAGGAAGACTTCCTTAGGCACCCCAAAAATTTACCCTTTCCCTTTCCCTTTCCCCCAAATGTCGCCATATAAACAGCCCCAAAAATTTCTCAAAGACTGCTGTGGTCTGCCTCACGCCTCAAGGTAATTTTCTGATTTCCCCAGTATAATGGGGGGGCCCCGTGTGCTTTCCCGCCCATGAGGATTCACGGTCACAAAATCTTGGAACCGGGGCAAAGCCCTCGTATAACTTGTTTGGAAAAAATTTCAAAAAAATTCTGTATCCCCCTTTTTTTAAAGGCACCCCATACAGCTCTTCGTTGGCATGCGTATGTGTCCCTGATGATGGCAGGTAATAAAACTTGAGCCGAGTGGGCATGCACAGCCCCACGCACTACTTCTATGCAGACAGTGTTTACCCTTCTTGCCTGCTGCGCCATTGAGAAAAGCAAGTTGTCACCGGCTGACAGCAGAGGGCAGGCTCGGCTCACGTCCGCTCGTCCCAGAGGTTGAGCGACTAATGTGTATTTATAATTGTTCCGTTTCACTGGTTTAAGAAAAGCACGAAACGTACCTGTAGTTTAAATAAACTGTTCGAAATCTCTCCAGTCTGTAGTCTCTTGTTATATGAATTTGCGAATGCCAGGTAAGTGTTGCTCCCAAGTTGCCTGAAATAAGGAAGATGGTTTAAAGCACCCTGATTTTTCTGTGCTTTTATGGGAGTTAAAAAAGTAAATTAAATTCAGTGTATACTAGACAGTGCAAACCTATAGGGGATGAGGGTAATAAAAGGCAAAGAATATAATGGTGTATCAAAGGTTCTTACTAACAAGTTCTTGTCGAAGATGACATTGAAGTTTCCATTTAATACCCCGTAGTTTCTCGCGGCCAAAATATTGTTAACGTTGTCAGACCAATAGTTAATGTTTAAGTGTCATTGTTACACAAAATATAAGTTAAAGCAATTACCATATAGCAACATCGTGGGCACCATCGGTACGCAGAGAACGATGGAAATTTACCGCTAAACCACCTTCCCACGTCAACCTGTAGACACCACATCCAACCTAGAATGCACCAAGGAAAAAATTATGATTTCCACTTCAAAATAGTACTAGCTTCTAGTACACTAAAATTTACCAATTACGTGGACAATGAATAATCATTACATTAAATGACAACAGTAGTTGTAAATATAATGTATCCCTATGGAAGATGACAATTCCAGGATGGATTTTTCAACAACTCAAATATTCTAACCTTCGTTTTGTCTGTGGCTCTTTCTCCTTGGGATTCAACACATGCAAACTCCACAAAACTTTCCATGAGGAGAATTGGCACACACTTTATGGCACCCATTGTATCTACTGATTCGTACTGAAGGAAGTTTCCCTGTGGAGAAAAAATGAGAAATTATGTACTGCATTTTTCAACCAAAGTGGTCCTCTCCCACGAAGACAAAAACCCAAAGGACTTTGAAAGGAGTTTAGATTTACCAGCATACATGTATACAATATCTCAGGCGTCATACCATTTGAAGAGCATAAACGTGTAATCGCCCCGGGTTGTTTGAAGTGAAGCTGTCTGTAATAAACCAGAAGATGAAGTTCTGGTGTTCGAATACCACCATCGAGATCGGGTTTTCAGGTGCAGTGAAGTCTTTCAGGTAGTGGTTAACGTTATCGTCAATATCCAACAGTCTGTAGTAGCCTGCCAAGTGAACTTTTATAAGTTTACAAATACCAGGTTTAAGAGTTAAATTACAACTCCAGAGAACTTCTAGCTATAACCAGTTGGAATTTTAAGTTTAAACTTCTAAGCTATTGTATAATGCCAACAGTTTAAAACCGTTGCAGAAGATAGAATATACCACACATTTTCAAACCTTTAACCCGTGAAACACTTGCAACACAGACGAAGGGGAGTAAATGCTTAGGGCATTCTCCACTGGGTCATGATACAAGAGATCCAGCCCACGTAGGGCTGGAAGTTCGCATCAGAATGTGATATTTGGCGGATGCTACTCGTCACATTGTACCTCAAACTGCTGCTACAAATTTATCCTCAGCCTGTCAGAGCCAGACTGACACAGGCCAAGTGGCTTTCCTGCTCAATGGCCCTGGAGAGGTAGGTTGAAGTTTCTTCCAAGCACCAACTGAGGCTGAGCCGCCACCACCACTGCTACTTAATCTGCTATCTGTACTAGTGTAGAGATGACATGCCAAAGTTAGTCTGGCTGGATGAGATTTTTGTCGCAGAACAATGACTGCACGAAACTAAAACCATGTAGCCTGTAATGAGGAAAATACAAACTCGTTAAAATACACCCCACTGATATATCTGACAAGATAACACTGGAAAGCCTGGCAGACACAGGCTATGGCAATGACAGCCAAAGTCCATGCAGGAGTCATTAGCAGTTACATCTCAAAGTCCAGGGAACGCCGTATTCCATTCCCTCAAATGTGATCAGGTTTGCTCTGCTCTTCTGTAAGACATCAACTGCCCCCTACAAAAAAAAAAAAAAAAGGGGTCCCCCCCCTCCCCTCAACTACAAGTCCTTTCGCCCTGCAATGCGACATGCAGTGCCGATAGTCTTTGCGGCAACTATATTTGTATCCTGTCAGTCCTGAAACAACTGACCCAGTACTAACTTCCCAAGTATTAGACTGTCAGAAGCGCCAAAGGCAACCGCAGCATTCGACTAGTAATGACTGAGGGCGAACCTGCAAGAGAACCGCGAGCTGCTCACCAGCAGTCAACATCCTTGTAATCAGACTTCAGGTTGTAACTTTCGCCACCTATAGCCAGGGGTGAACTACCCAGAGCACTACCAGGTAGTCCACCAGAAGGGCCACCTTGCAAATACAATCCCCTATGGGTGATGTGGACCACCTCGACATTGTAAATGGCACGAGTCCAAGGATAGCAGCCTAGCTACTAGTTCTTTTCCCACGGGGGTGAAGGTAGACTAAAGGAAGTGAATCGGCTATTTAAGCCGAAAGAGACCGGAAGAGCACTGGGTTCTTAATGCAGCTATCATTCAAACCTCGATACCTTAGGTGTCCCAGCAACCTAGCAACCACATGTGCAATCAGATGGTCCACACTAGCAGAATATCCTCTTGGATGTTCCAGATTATTGCAGCTGAAAACAAGGAGACTAAATGGCAGTTCCATCCTTTCCCATAATCATCCCTTGTAGCAAGAAGGGGGAAAGGGAAATTTACCATAAAAGTTAGATGCAGGGGAAGTCCCGACCTTTGAGGAGAAAAAAAAATTAGCGAGGGAGTTCAGATACTTCCTCCGAGTTTGTCACAAGATCTACAGGTAACTGCATTGAAACGTCAGTGCATTCTGACTGTTCTGGTGAGAATTGAAAGGTAGAAGTGTCAAGCAGATCAAAGATTTGCGCCGAGTTTCCACCTATTTTCACGGGTACCACTCGTGACCTTTAGGCCAAACTATCCCTTGATGGAAAGGGAGGCTTATCGATTAGTACAAAGTTTTAAAAATAATTTTATTCATACAATGGTTCAGGAAAATTTTAGTCAGACGTTACCTGCGTCATCTCTGGTGAGAGGTTTATCATGGGCACGGGAACGCCGCTGCCTCCTGTGCACCTTCAGTAATGTTTTAATTTCGTTTTGTAGTGTATCCAGGCTATCACTTTGGAATCTTTCCATACGTTCTTCTGCAATCAAATTTTAATTCATTAGATGCTGTAGTTTACTTTTGAAAGATATATTGCATCAAATTAAACTGAACTAATGCAAACTTGCCTATGTCACTTTTTCCAAATCCTGCTAGCGAGCCGAACCCAGTGCTGATGCCAGACCACAGCCTCTGGAGCACCCCAGCGTCCTCCGCTTCATCTGCTCCGTCACCGAGGTTCTCGTGACCAGGTAACCTAGCCCTTGCAGGTACGCTCTCCACCTGAAATTAAAGAATTTAATACAGGCCTAAAGGATATATGAACAAAATTTGAGAAGCTGCTAAATTTCAGGCTACAAAAACTTGTTATATTGCGACTTCAGGACTTTCAAAGTACTTACCGAATAGACCACCCCTAGGAGCAGCAGACCCAAGGCCAGCACGCCCTTAGCGGTACGTGCAAGCATGATTAAGTACTGCTGGCACGAATCCTGGAAAAGAAAAAGCTTAAAAAATCTGTCGAATCTTCAGTTGCGACAGCAAAAATATTTCTACACTAAGTTTACCTTTCTAATAAAACAGTTTAGTCCATTTAATCTTAGGATTAAATCCCAATTAAAGCAATCTTCATATTCAAAGGCAACTAATACCCAAGCAGAGATTTAAAGCTTAGGATACACATGTTCAGTGATTATGTGAAGAGACTTCAGCTCGAGAAAATTAAGCCACCTAGTGCTGACTGAGGAAGGTCTAGTGCCGTTATAGTAGAGGGAAGAATTTTAATGCCTTCATTAGTCAGGAACCATTATGGACGTGCTGACTGCGGCTGTCAATAAGTTAGTAAGTTGATTAACTTGGTTTTAAGTATTATACTAGTTTCATTCAGGATGCACGCATCCCAAGCCAATACCCATGAGCTTCCCTTTACAACTTTAAAGGTGATAGGAACCGAACTTGCTCCATCAGAATGCAAGTTTATATTTGAGGGGGCACTTAGTGTAGCTCTTTAGGCCCTTTTGACATGTACAAAATAAAAATCAAATTTAAAATAAATTAATATCAGGAAGTTCAGTTTCAGAGGTCAGCAGGCCTCGGCTAAAAGTATATTTTTTTTTTATATTTTATTGAAAACTTACATGGTACCAAAATAGACATAAAAACTGTTTTTGTCAAAAGACAAGAAAACAAAACTTACACAATTTATAATCTCACCACAAAATATACCTAATCCATTGAACTAAACCCTTACACTATAGTATCTCTCTCTCAATCCCTTTCAATGTGCAGGATGATAAACCCTTGCAGCCACATAATAGTGGTAACCCCCCTTTTCATGTACTTAGCCTGAAACAATGTACATATATACAAAATGACATGACAAAAGTGAAATTAAACCTAAATCAAAAAGAATCATGTTATTTTTTTGACAGTTAGTACATACAAACTAACAGATCTTGCATTTACTAACTTACATTTTAAAAAAGTTATAAATAACTAAAAACTAACAAACAACTAAAAAAATATGAAAAATTGTTCAAATAAATGGACCAACAATAACTTTTACAAAATTTACAAAAACGTCAAAAACATCTATGCTAAATATAAAAGTTTTATACAATGTTAGATTTCAGTACTAAGTCTAGTATATACAACTTCATGCAACTTATAGATGTATTATGCCTTTAAATCTAAAGCCATTTAAACAATGTTCCAGAGCAATATCAGACTTACTCTGTATGCACTAAGTTACAAATTTATAACTTATGGCTCCTAATAAAACATGTACCGGGCAGTACTACCTCAATCATGAACAAAACCAACCGGGCCCAAAAGACACTTCAGAAAGCCACCCCCTGCCACCCCCTGACCCATGCTATCTGTATTAAAAAAAACACAAACTCACGTTCCTTCCATGCTCAAGTTCGTTACCTGACGTCGAAAGTCAATAAAACCCTGTCTCAACCAAATGTCCCAGTTCACCCCCCTACGCCCCCCCCCTTCCAAAACGACTTTACACCCATATGCTCCACTACCACACACTTTTATTCCACCTCCATCCTCCACTAATCTCAAAAAAGAACAAAAAAATGCCAGTTTAGGGAGAACCAGCCCAATCCAGCTCTAAATTTACACCCAACCCTAACATTACACCTCCCGATAGATTACGATAACCCAAGGGAAAAACATTTACCAAAACCCTTTCCCATATAGTAGCCTATTTCTGCATACTGTACGATACACACTCGCCGCAAGCGCCCGCACCCTATATTCACCCCCCACCTCCCGCATGCACCAAGACACATAAAAAAAATCTGCCACTATATACATCACTCCCCTCGAATGTCTTGGAAACCCTCCCACATCGAAATGCAAAGCCCTCAAAGTCGAAATGTTTCTTGCCCCTCCCGCCACTATACCCAGAACTCTCGCTAACCAAGCCCTTACAAAACCCAAGGTTTCACAAAAATATATGGCATGAAAAGCCGTCTCCTCTTCCTCACAATGCAAACAAGTGCCAGCACCTACATAACCATTCTATATAACACTGACTTGTAGCTAAAATTTCCCCAAAAAGAATCTATAAACCACTTCACGAACCCTTGGCTTTAATCTGATCTTCCGAAAGTCTTCCCAAATGCCCCTCCAATCATACATTGGGTATGTAGCTACTCCCTGTATCACTGTATCACTGTACCCTGCCTACCTATCCTCCCAAGCCTACTTACCCTTACTTTTTTTGCTTCCCTTACTGCCAAGAAAAATTTCGCACCATATCTTCACACTCCAGTAGTTCCTTTCCCTTCCACCATTTTCGCACATCCTTCATGACCTCTCCACCCTTCTACCCTCTCCCCTCCCACCCTAAAGGGTATCGCTGCTTAAACACTCACTGCCTTTCACTCGTGTGTCAAAGGTATAAAGACCCAGCCCACCTGCCGCACGCCCTCGTCACCACCTCCTTCCGAAAGCCATGGCTTCCCATAACCCCACACATACTCAAAACCCACCCTCTCCTAGTTCCTGAATATCACACGACCAGGGGAATAATTTCTGCCACGCCCCACCTTTACTGTACACAAGTGTATTTACTACCACCACCTCTGCTGCAATGTTTTTATCCCCAGCCCTCCACCCGCGCATCCTACCCATCGCTCTACTCACTACTTCTTTGGAAATTTTATTCTCTGTGCCTCCCCACGTCCGCCATATACACACCCCACATATCTTAATTCTATCCACTACGTTCCACCATACTGTTCCCCCAACCCCCCCCCACCCACGTGCCTACTTCTAATAACTTTGACTTTGCTCCATTAACCCTCATCCTGTCCCCCCACCAAAAATCTCTTTTATCGCCCAATTCCCCAATCCTATTTCCCCTCCAACCAAAATTTGTGGTGTCATCCACATACCCCACAATACCACATCTCCCAGGACCCCCTCTCCCTGTTCCCACACTCCTTCCTCTATAAGCCTATAAAAAGGGTCCTGCATGCATGCAAAGAGGATTTGAGACAAGGGGCAACCCTGTCGCAAACCCATCCCCATCTGCACTGGCAACCCTAATTCCATTAACTGAACCTGACCGTTGCAGGCGTATACAAAGTAGTCGCCCGCGCACCATCTCATCCCCAAAAAACCCTGTTTTTTCAAAATCCCACAAAAACATATTGTCTATCTACACTGTCATAAGCCTGCTCCAATCAATCCCAAGATCCCCCCCGTTGTCTACCCTCCACAAAATCCTTAATTTTTTCCATGCCCCTCCGCAAAACTTCGACCTGGAAATCCCCCCACTGTCCTCTATGTAGGACTCGGTCAAGCACCTTTTTCATAGGGTTCCCTAAAACCTTCGCAAAAACTTTATAATCTGCACACATGGGGGAGATCCCCCTAAAAGCACCCAAGGTCTTCCCCCCCCCCCTCCCTTATAGACCAAAAAACTACTACCCGTGCCCGTGATTCCCCCAAACTCCTCTTTCCTTCTACAGTTAAACAACCGGACCAGACATTCCTTATACAATCCCAATGTGTAATATAGAAATCATTAGGAATTCCATCAATGCCGGCGCTTTTCCCCTACTCAAGCCATTATCGCCTCCTCCACTCTCACTGATCCTACCCTCTATTACCCCCTCCCTCCTCCCCTAAAAACCCGGAATTCCTTCTCCCAGAATCTCTCCCTCCCCCCCCTCTCACCCTCCCTCTGCTTAAAATTCTCCCTAACCAATAATCAGCATAATTGCTCATTCCATCGGTGGTACTAAGTCCTGCCCCACCCTATATCCCCCACCCCTTTACACACCTCTAATCCCATAATCGTGGTCATCTGTTGCTATTCCTAAATCTCCTCAAAACACATCCTGACGGTTTGTCACCCCATAGAACCTCCTCTAAACCTTCCCTACACGTATCGCACAAAACGAGAGTTTTGTATATCCCTCAATTTTCCCCCTTTAAAAAACCTCTATTTTTTCCATGTCTAGCCCCCCCTCCCCTTCATAACAATCATTTAGCTGCCCTCTAAATATTTCTGTAAACCATACCTCCACTCGCCATCCCTTCCTCTATGCTGGTAAAGTCCCTAATCTGCAATTTGGGTTTGCTTCTCCACCATTCCAAAACATCCTCCTCTTCGTTGCGAGCCTCCCATAGTGCTTCCACCATTCCCTAAAAAAAAACCCCCTCCTCCTTCCCTGGAGTAGCCTCACATTCATTTTCCATAACCCAAAATACCTACGAACCATCCCTTCCCATGCCATCTCTGCCAAAACGGCACGATGGTCCGAAAAACCTAAATCTATCGTCATTACACGTTCTACTGTTATTCTCGAGTTATATATATTACGATCCAACCTGGCAGCATAACCCCCCCGCAGAAACGTGTGCTCTTCTTTCCCCCCATCGCCCCGGGACTATGTCATAAACCCTGCTTTCCCTCAACAAATCCCTCAATACCCCAAGCACACACCTGCCCCTCTCGGTTCCACATCCTTATTCCTGATTACACATTCAATCCCACCTATTATAGAAACCATTGGTAAACCCCGCATGTAGAAAAGCAAAACCTCCTTACAAAATTCACCTTAACCCGTTATGTTACTATCTCCGGCATATATATCCCCAGAAAAATACTCTAATCTCCCCCCATATCCCTTCCACCTCACCACCCTCCCCTCCCTTTCCCATTGAGCATGTGGAATGGGCTGGACTCCCTCCTGCCACTGCCACCCCCACCCTTTAATTTCCCTGAACCTCCCAACATACATCCTAAAACCGTTCAGCCCTCAACTCTTGCCATACTTGAAACTGTGTTCTTGAATAAAACACACATCAATATTAAAACGCCGCAAAACATCCTCCAACCATACTCGTTTACCGTCAGCTCTAAGGCCATTCACGTTTATCGTTAGACATTTAAAAGATTCAGAAAGGGTGGCTTTCCTCTATGTCTCTGTGTCCTGTCTGTTCCACTTTTTGCTGCTTCTGT